GAAGCCTGGCCAAATTGTTTGCTGATGTTGGGGGATGTTCATGCATGGTCATCAAATGTCATTAGATATTGTAACAAGATGCAACCACTGGTCCGGGAGTCCCATATGAGATGGATGACCATGCTACATATGCCATCGTTTGACCATGGCATATTTCTATATGTATGCATCGTGTTTGGCAGGCACTGGGTGTGCATTATCATTAGGGTGAGTATGTAAGCTGATGAATCCATTTTGGCTCAAGTCTGAGCCAAACTGGCTTCATCGTTCTTTCTTTTGTTGGGGTACCCACACCACTTCTAGGGAGTTACCCTAGGTTCAGTGGTTTCTCGTTCCTCTACTAGGGCGTTACCCTAGAGTACAGAGGTTACGAAGGTGGGAGGTCACCCCCTCGATGCCAAGGGCCTCCATTGTCGTTCGGCCCGGTTGGAATGAGGCTGCCCACACGGATGTGGAGCTGCTTCATGCGGCCGCCTACTACGAGTTCAAGACACATGTGGAGAGCCTCCTCCAGCAGGGCTTGGTGGCACAGGCCACCCGACTGTGGGCGTCTGTGTGCCAAATTGATCATTTCCCCCCACATCCAATTGGGTTGGGGGTGCAGGGACTTCCCCCTTTCAGACGGTCACCTTGTATGGAAGAAAACTGTAGGAGGTGTACTGAGTATCAGGGAGGATTCAAGTTCCCTTGGATCGGCACATGGAACAGCTCAGCTGTCTTGGCTCTGCCCGGGAGTGACCCGCGGCTTGCGTGGCAATCCTACTATGATCGCCTGGGCGAGGCGAGGCTGGATTTGCTACTCATCGAGCCGCTGCGGACTTCTTGGACGTCTCGGGACTTTGCGCCGGACAACATCTTTGGTTTGGTCGCCTTCATCGAGCACAATGCCGATAGCATGGTCGACCTCACCGAACTGTGGGATGTGTGGTGGACCTGGCAATCCCCACAGCGTCGATGGAGGGACCCATCCTTGGTGCCCATCCCGGCTGACCTGGTTGCGTGGAGAGCACCACGGGCCAGAGCAGTCCGGTCGTTATGGGGCTGGCTTGGGGCCATGGAGGCTGGGGAGGAACCCTTGCCACCTTGCAGGGCTTGTGGACTGCCGACACCTGAGCTCTGTGAGCGATGCTTCTCCTCCGTGTGCAGTACCTGTCCACCCTCCCAGTGTCCAGGATGTCACCCCGTCTTGCGTCGAGACCCATCTGCAGCAGCGGCGGCCTAGTGATGTTTGTTTGTTGCCTGATAACACTGAGGTTTGGTCTGCAGTTTCAGGCCCAGCCCGTACGCTCCAAACCTTGGCGGCGGTGGTGTCAGGCGTCGCCATGGCGTACCACCCAGGCGCCTACGCGGTGCAAGCTGCTGGTGAGGCTCCACCTTGTGCAGAGACGGCGATGGAGAGGGTGGCATCCACTCGTGTTGAACAGTGGCGAGCTCAATGGGGACTACATGATGAGACTGACTTCGCATATGCGTTTGCATCCTATGACAGCGCAGTGGCACATGGAGGACACCATGTGGCAGATGCGTGGTTGCAAGCGCGATCCAAGACTGCCGAAGCGGACCTCATCCCTCAAGCGGCTGCCGTGGCTGAGAGCTCGGGCTCCAGAGATCGGCCAACGACATGGCCTGCGCCCAAGGCATCCATGATGAAGAAGAGCAAGATGGTCCAAGCTCTTCGAGTCCGGCCAGGCCCAGATCAACCAGAGACGGTGCTGCTGCGAGCTGCGGCACTGAGGAAGGCCTTTTCTCAGGCCAAGGTCATGCGTCCTCAAGGGGAGTTGACCCCGGAGAGGTACGCTCAGTGGCAGGACGCTCTGGATACTTTGTCTAAGCGGAAGGTCACAGAGGCCGAAGGAGCGACGGTGGTGAATGCCCTGAAGTCTTGGGCTGAGTTGCGGGCCTACATGGAGCAGAAGGACCGCTTGTTCCCACCGGATGCATTGGACCTCTATGGCTTCCTGCAGAATGGCACGTCGGGGCCTTACCGAGCCTTTCATTCCTTGAAGTGGTTCTCCAAACATGGCCGGTTGCAATGGGACTTCAGTGATGTACCAGTTCCAGCTCGTAAGAATCCACCCAAACAGGCAAACCCAGAACAGGCTGTTGCAGTTGAGCCCCCAATGATTGCAGCGCTTGAAGAGAAGATTCAATCGTTGTACGAAGCAGGGGACCCGCGTTGGAGGGGCTTACTGTCCAGCTGGCTGGTTACCTTTGGTGTCCTGCGATACCAGCACATCATGCGTGCCAGGCCAGTCAAAGTGACCCCTAGCTCCTTTCATGGCTACTGCACGAAGGGGAAGCAGAAGGCCAACAGGGGCGGGTTCTCCTTCAGCATTCCGGCCACATGCGTCAACGGATGGGCTTGGGGCTCGGCCCTATTCAGGGACTACAGCAGTCTGGATAAGGCTAAGCAAGCAGCCTCAGGGTTATGCTTTGATGCGGAGGGCACCGCATACACCTTGAAGTTCGTCAACGAGCTCAATCGTGAGGTCTTTGAGCACTTAGTCCAGAATACAGAGGATTTGTCTTCCTACTCCTGGCGGCGAGCAGCACCTACAGTGGGCACTTTGATGAAGCTGACGCCTCTCGAGCTATGCTCATTGGGGGACTGGGCAGATCGTTCCCAGATCCCAAAGGAGGCGACGATGCCTATGCACTACAGTGCAGCCAGGTATGAGTCTTCATTGAGGACCAAACACATTGTGCGGCTGGCTATGGAGAAGCTGCTTGCCCATGAGTCATGGGAGACCATCCCAACAGAGACCTATGCTGAGGCCCTTGAGTATGCGCGCCAGAACGTGGACAAGGTGCTGAAGCAGGAATCTAGGGTCATCTGGGCAGCTCCTTTGACGAAGGCTGAGATGCAGGCGCGCTTCCAGCTGTCGGAGGCGCTTAAGCTCAAGGCCGCGGCCAAACGAGAAGAGGCACAATCCAAGGGTGGCCTGTCTGCGATGCCGGCATCTCTCAATGGGAAGGTGCTGAGCGCATTCATGAAGAATGGGGCACCCATTTGTGGAGCTTTTCAGACGACGTCTTGCCCCTTGGAGAAGGAAGCGCGCCCTGGTCGCCATGCATGCGCCATTCTGCGCAAAGCTGGACGAGTTTGCGGTGGAGGCCATCCGGCATGCGAATGCCACGACAAGAAGTTCATCAAGGTGGAGGAGATGACTGGCGAAGGGCCTGGTTCGGGATCTGCTAAGGCCAAGCCTACTAGCAAATCCACGGAGGAGCGACCTCCGGAGCCAGCTGCCCCTCCTAAGGCGTCAGTGAGGCGCCCACGGTCCCCACAAGGGCCGCCGTCTAAGGCACCGCCAGCGAAGAAGGCCAAAGCAGCCCCAGCTCCACCTCCGGCGCCATTACCAGCCCTGGTGACCAGTTCGGAAGAAGAAGAAGTCGAAGTTGAGGAGGAGGACCTTCCGATTCCAGAGGCACTGGATACTCGAGGGCCCGACCAGAAGTTCGACAGGTTGGCGACAATCCACGGCAAGACAGCGGAGAGCCCGAGCCTTATTTATCAGAATAGGGCAGGGGGCAAGCTGTGGCTGAGTGGAATTCCAACCAGGAACACGGCAAACCGCTTTCCAAAGGGAGTTACCCTTCAGATTGCGTGCATGGCCGAAGCCCCATCATCCAGAGGAGGAGTGGTGCTCACAGATGCCCTCTTGAAACACCTGTGTGTGGCCCATGGTGGTTCGAGGAACAGGGACTTCGAAGAAGTCTGGCCCTTGCTGCGCAATACGATGTATGCAGGTGAGTCGGCCTTGATCCATTGCCTATCAGGGCGCCACCGAGCAGGTGTTGGGGGCTGTGTGTTCCGGGCGCTGCTAGCCCAGGAGAGCTGGGATGTTGCAGTGGCCTACGTGAAGAGCTGCAGGCGCTCGTTGGACATTCCGGGGATCATCAATGAAACGGGTATGAGGTCGTGGGTGGACACGACTCTCAGGACCAGCTCCCTCAGGAACCCGTTCCCAGAGCCCTGCGGCTACATTGCGACACTGCGTTCAAAGGTTCGTCTGGAGCTCAACAATGGCCAGACCCTCTGCTCCCACAAGCAATCTGCTGAGCGTGCAATCCGCTTGGTGAAGCCAATGACGACGCAGGACATGAGGGAGGCTATGGCTTGGGGCCGCGCTTTTTGTGACGGTTGTTTGGTGCGAGCAGCAGCGAGCTGGCATCCACGCTGACCTTGTCAGGAGTGGCGCACCAGAATTCATTTGAATAAGAGTAGCACAGGGCCGATTTTGGTAAGCTGACCAACGTGGTCCATAGCTTGCCCGTAGGCTAACATGCATTTGAACCATTTGAGAGCTTGACTTCTGCGTGGAAAAAGGCCCTATCAACATCCGGGAGGATGAAGTCATGATAGGCTGCGATAACTAGTCTTACCGGTATGTCATGAGGTGGCTTACACAGGTATCTGTGAGGACAAGCTACATGATGTGTGCCGGGGATAGAGACTAGGAGACAGTCTGTCATACCCCTGAGGAACAGGGGAGTTCTTGTCTTACCCCCCCCGTCACCTCCTTCTGTCCCTGGATGGCAGGTGATGTGCAGCATGCGGGAGGCATGTTTGGGGGTGAGCAGCTTTGAATGTTCAAGTCATACAAGGAGTTACCTTGAGAAAATGACTAGTGTTCGATTGGTTCCGGTGGAGAGTACCACCATTCAGGAAACCATGGAGTCTTTAGGGCTGAATTTTTCGTTGGACCCCGTTGTGACCAAGGCGTTGTTGGCCACCAAGATCCAGAACTTGGAGGAGTTTCGGTTCCTCTTTGAGGATGAGTCGAAAGTTGACACGTTCTTGGCCAAGTTGCAACTCGGTGACGATAGGTTGATTCAGGGCTCTAGGTTGCGCAGAGCTTGGACTGCCGTGACCCTGTACTACAAGAACCAGGACCAGGATAGGTCCAAGATCAGTGTCAGCGATCTTGATACCATGTTGGCTGACACAGAGTTGCGGGATGTCAAATCCAACTTCTGGGTTCGGTATCGGATGAGAT